GCAGCAAATAGGTACCTGGGTGTTAATCGACTGGTGTGGGTCGCATCCTGGAGGACAAGATTGAGGACCACAATGAAAATGAGTTAGTCCTCGATGACGCACTGACTTTCTTGGGTTATCCTGGGTGGCTAACCCTCCGGGGTTAAAAATCCGAACGAAATCTAATCTTATCTTATTGGGACTACATTTGCTATCTTCCACACCTCTGGCAGTTGCCATGTTTTGATAGAATTATTGAAGATTGTTGCTAATGGCACACACAGTGCCACCACTCTCTATCTCAGGACCCACAGAGAGATATTGTCTGGTCCCACCACCTTCGCGATATCTAAGTCACACAAAAGTTCCTTCTCCTTCCTGGTTATATTTGCCGGTGCAGCTTCCTGCTTCAGGTTGCTGGGAGCCTTTCTGTCTCTGAAAATTCTCCCTAAATCTCGTGTTGTGCTCTACATAGACTTCCTGGTTATTTCTTATGAGTTCCCCACCAACCCTCTTCAGCCTGATTACTTGGTCACTGACAGTTGTTCTTCTAATGTGACTATATAAAAACTCTGGGTCAAATTTGGTTTTCGATGCTATGTTATTCTCAAATTGCCGTTGAGTTTCCTGTTTTATCTGTACATACTCGTTTCTGGCTCTTCGGATCAAGTCTTTGTTTTCCTAAGTCCACTACATTCTATATTTTTGTATGCTCTAGCACATTTTGCTTTGGCTTCTCTACACCTCGGTAAAACCATAAGGTCATTATATTCTTGCCATTGTTTGTATTGCCCCTACTCTTTCACCTTTCTACACTTGTTGTCACTTGATCCATCATCTCATTTACTGTTTTTCCCTCTAGTTCTCTTTCCCATTGCACCTCACACAGGAATTGCCTCATGCCTTGTAGTCTCCACTTTTGAAGTGTGAGCATGTGTGTGTGTGTGTGTGTGTGTGTGTGTGTGTGTGTGTGTGTGTGTGTGTGTGTCTGTATGTATGTGTATGTGAATGTATGTACATATGCATAGATGTATGTCTGGATGAATGGATAGATGAATTGATGCATATATGCATTTAATTTTGACTGTATGGATACTAAAAAAATACTTAGAAATAAAGCATAACGGCACCATTAAGTATTTCTCTTGATCCAGGGAAATGGAGATATGCTCCTCTTCCTCACCAACTCTGAATACCTCCAATTCCCAAGACGCTTTGCGACCTGTACAGGTTTAGCCCTTACGTATTAATACTTTAATATTAACAGGTCACTGGGCCTTCAAGCAGAATTATGTTCTTTTGAAGGGTTCTTAAAGTGAGACTAAGATAGTTGAAGGGCTGGAGAGTTCAGAGGAGCACACAAGGTGTGGTAACGACAACATCCAGGGGCTGGAGAGTTCAGAGGAGCACACAAGGTGTGGTAACGACAATATCCAGGGGCTGGAGAGTTCAGAGGAGCACACAAGGTGTGGTAACGACAACATCCAGAGGCTGGAGAGTTCAGAGGAGCACACAAGGTGTGGTAACGACAATATCCAGGGGCTGGAGAGTTCAGAGGAGCACACAAGGTGTGGTAACGACAGCATCCAGGGGCTGGAGAGTTCAGAGGAGCACACAAGGTGTGGTAACGACAACATCCAGAGGCTGGAGAGTTCAGAGGAGCACACAAGGTGTGGTAACGACAGCATCCAGGGGCTGGAGAGTTCAAAGGAGCACACAAGGTGTGGTAACGACAGCATCCAGGTGCTGGAGAGTTCAGAGGAGCACACAAGGTGTGGTAACGACAGCATCCAGGGGCTGGAGAGTTCAAAGGAGCACACAAGGTGTGGTAACGACAGCATCCAGGGGCTGGAGAGTTCAAAGGAGCACACAAGGTGTGGTAACGACAGCATCCAGGTGCTGGAGAGTTCAGAGGAGCACACAAGGTGTGGTAACGACAGCATCCAGGGGCTGGAGAGTTCAAAGGAGCACACAAGGTGTGGTAACGACAGCATCCAGGGGCTGGAGAGTTCAAAGGAGCACACAAGGTGTGGTAACGACAGCATCCAGGTGCTGGAGAGTTCAAAGGAGCACACAAGGTGTGGTAACGACAGCATCCAGGGGCTGGAGAGTTCAAAGGAGCACACAAGGTGTGGTAACGACAGCATCCAGGGGCTGGAGAGTTCAAAGGAGCACACAAGGTGTGGTAACGACAGCATCCAGGGGCTGGAGAGTTCAAAGGAGCACACAAGGTGTGGTAACGACAGCATCCAGGGGCTGGAGAGTTCAAAGGAGCACACAAGGTGTGGTAACGACAGCATCCAGGGGAACACAGCCATTGTAGGTGATAGAGACTGTGGTTGACTGGTCTGTTATGCTGGTGATTACATCCACAGTCGACGACACCAACGACCTGAGAGTAATTAGCTGGTGGTTAAGGAGTCGTGGCTGACGACCTTCTGTAGCGCCACAGTCACACGATGGTAACACCATCTCCACAACATCGTAGCTTGACGTTTGCAAATTGCTCATAGATGTTACCCTGTCAAGGTAACACAAACTTTAAGTCATTATTGATTATTCAAGTGATTATTGATTATTCAAGTGATTATTGATTATTCAAGTGATTATTCATTATTTAAGTGATTATTCATTATTTAAGTTGTTATTGATAATTCAAGTGATTACTGAAATCAAATTCATCTAATCAATAAATTTTTAAATAGTGTCAAATTCAGAAAAAACTAACTTATTATGGAAAAAATCTTAACATAAAGATCGAATAATTGATAAAATTATAGACAAATTTATTAAATAATCAACTTCTAAAACAAATTATCAAACAATTATTCACATTTTTCAAATATCTGTAAAAGAGTCTGTTCAAATTGCAATGGTAATTGCTGCTGGAATATTTGTTTAATAGGTAAAAATGTCAAGATAATTATCCAAATAATTCTTATTTCATAATTTTTCAGATAATTAATAATATAATTCTTAATATCTTATAAGAATTAAATTATTTCTTAAATGAGGTGCTGGATACCAATTTGTAAAAAGAGAATTTAGAAGAATTAAATGTATTCAGATATCTGGGAGTGAACCAGTTGGTGGGTGGTGCATTGAGGCATCTGTGAGGTGGGTGGTGCATTGAGGCATCTGTTAGTGGTGGTGCATATGAGCATCTGTGAGGTGGGTGTAGAATTGAGGCATCTGTGAACCAGTTGGTGGGTGGTGCATTGAGGCATCTGTGAGGTGGGTGGTGCATTGAGGCATCTGTGAGGTGGGTGGTGCATTGAGGCATCTGTGAGGTGGGTGGTGCATTGAGGCATCTGTGAGGTGGGTGGTGCATTGAGGCATCTGTGAGGTGGGTGGTGCATTGAGGCATCTGTGAGGTGGGTGGTGCATTGAGGCATCTGTGAGGTGGGTGGTGCATTGAGGCATCTGTGAGGTGGGTGGTGCATTGAGGCATCTGTGAGGTGGGTGGCGCATTGAGGCATCTGTGAGGTGGGTGGTGCATTGAGGCATCTGTGAGGTGGGTGGTGCATTGAGGCATCTGTGAGGTGGGTGGTGCATTGAGGCATCTGTGGAGACAACGTTATCCATGGACACAAGAAGGGCAGTCTACCAGATAACAGTGGTACCAACACTGTTGTGTGGGTGAGGAAAAACACGTTATAAATGTTACATCCAGGAGAAGGTTGGTAGCAGCAAAAATGTTGAGTTAGCAAGCAATGTGTGACGTGAATATTATGCAGGTAAGTCGGAGTTTGGAGATCAGGAGGAAGTAATGAGTTAGCAAAATATTAGAGGGTTGAGGGAGGATTATTGAGGTAGTTGGGATATTTAGAAAGGATGGAGAAAAGCAGAAGGATTAGGAGGACATATTAATCTGGGGTGCAGGGAAGGAGGGAAAATAGACGTTTGAGAAGTTGGAGGGAGAGGCTAAAGGAAGTTTTGAGGGCTAGTAACTTGGACATCATACAGGCATGTTTGATTATGATATACGGGAGTGAATGGAGGAAAGTGGTTATTAAGATTTGACGTGGTATTGAAGCGTAAACAAAGTAACGCTTATGGAGGGATTCAGGGAAACTAGTTAGCAAGACTTGAGTCCTGGATATGGAGACTTGACTCTGCTGGAAAGGAGGAGGATGTTATCTGCAAGGCATTCTGAACATTGAAGTCGGTTCTTTTCTTGCAAGACAGTAAGTGCTTGGTGGGTTTTGAACCAAGTGAAAGAATAATTCTGGTGGGGGACATAAATAGTAAAATGGGAAAATCTCTAGTGGAGGAAGTAGTAGGTAAGTTTCTGGTGCCGGGGCTAAATTATAATGGGGCTTTAATTAAACTTCCTATAGAAAGAGATTTGTTAATAAGCAATACATTTTTAAGAAAAAAAGGGATAAATAACTATGCAAGATATTATACAGGTCGTAATGACAATAGTTTACGATAAAAGGCATAAAAGGTAGATAGGTATACTTCAGGCTGTGCATGTTTATAGACGGCAACAGATCTATCAGATCATTATTTAGTTGTAGCTACAGTTAAAGGCAGATGAGGAAGTTGGAAAACGACATCAGCGAGTAAGAGAGTTGAAAGTTTATAAAGAGAGGAAGTTATGGTGAGATAAAAGCAACTATTGGGAGAAAGGTGAGCTAGTGAGAGAGAGGTAATGCAGGGGTTGAAGAGTGGTGGAATGTGGGACAGAAGTTTGTGGATACAAGAGAGTGGTGCGGGGGAACAGATGAGTGTTTGGTGGAATGATGAGGTAAAGGGTGTTATAAGGGAAAAGAAGTTTGCTTAGGAGAGGTTTTTACAAAGCAAAAGTGATATAAGAAGGGTGGAGTATATGGAGAGTAAAAGAGACGTGAAGAGAGTGGTGAGGGGGAGAGGTGCTAAGAGGAGAGCTAATGATAGTGTGGGTGAGACGCTGCCATCAAATTTTGCTGAGAATAAGGAAAAGCTTTGGAGTGAAATTAATAAGTTGAGAAAGCTTAGGGAACAAGTGGATTTGACAGTTAAAACAGAAAAGGGGAGTTAGTAGATGGGGAGTTGGATGTATGGGGAAGATGGCGAGAATATTTTGAGGAACAGTTAAATATTGATGAACAGAAGGAGGCAGTGATTTCATGCATTGGCCAGGAAGGTATAACATCTTTCAGGAGTGAAGAAGAGCCAAATGTAAGTGTGTGGGAGATGCGTGAAGCATCGGGTAGAATGAAAGAGCGTAAAGCTGGAACAGGTGGGATCATGACAGAATTGTTATAAGCAGGTGGGGATATAGTTTTGGAGTACATGCATTTGGTACTTGTGTTCAGAAAATGAATGAAAGAGGGTAAGATACCTAGGGACTGGCAGAGAGTGCATAGTTCCTTTATATAAAGGGAAGGGGGACAACAGAGAATGTATAAACTAGGGGAATTAGCCTACTGAGTACACCATGTAAAGTGTATGGAAGTGTTATTACTGAAATAATTAGAGGTAAGATAGATAGGGTAGGAGATACGTAGACCAAGTGTTTACCTTGAAGCATGTAAGTGAACAAAATTTAGATAAAGATAGGGAAGTTTTGGTTTCTTATATAGATTTAGAATAGGCATATGATAGGGTGGATGGGCGAGCAATGTGGCAGATGTTGCAAGTGTATGGATTAGGTAGTAAGTTAAAATGATGCTGTAAAGACTTTTTATGAGAACTGTGAGGCTCAGGTGAGGGTGTGTAGGAGAGAGAGGGAGATCACTTTCCAGTAGTAGGAGGCCTTAGACAGGGATACGGGATGTCACCATGGGAATGTAAAAGAAGTAAACGCTATGGTGTTTGGGAGAGGTGTGAGATTAAATTATGCAGTATCAAATGCAAAATGAAAACTGGCACAGTTACTTTTTACTGATGATACTGTGCATCTGGGAGAGTCTGAAGAGAAGTTGCTAAGGTTAGCGGACGAGACCGGGAGGGTGTGTGAAGGAAGAAAGTTGAAAGTGTACACAGATAAGACTAAAGTGATGAGGATATCAAACAAATTATGTAAGGAAAAAATAGATATCAGATTGGAGGGAAGGAATATGGAAGAAGTGAATGTGTTCAGATATTTGGAAGTGGACGTGTCAGCGGATGGGTATATGAAGGACGAGGTAAACAATAGAACTGATAATGGGAGACAGGTAGGTGGAGCACTGAGGTATCTGTGAAGACAGTGAACGTTATCCATGGAGGTAAAGAAGGAAATGTATGAGAGTAAGTGGTACCAAGACTCCTACATGAGTGTGAGGCGTAGGTTGTGAATGATGCAACTAGGAGGAGGTTGGAGGCAGTGATGTGACTAAGTATGGCTCAAATATTATGCATAGAATTCGTAGTATGGAAATTACAAGGTGTGGAGTTATTGAAAGTACTATTCAGAGGGCTGGGTAAGGGTAGTTAAGGTGGTTTGGTCACTTAAATAGGATGGAGCAAAATAGGATGACTTGGAGGGAGTATAAATCAGTAGTGGAGGGACGGCAGGATACGGATCGTCCAAGGACAGGAAGGTTGGACGGGGTAAAGGAGGTTTTGTGTATAAGAGGCTTTGACATGCAGCAGGCATGTGTGTATGTTAGGAGTAGAGACGAATGGATTTTTGGACTTGACGAGTTGTTGGAGTGTGAGCAGGGTAATATTTTGTGAAGGGAATTAGGAAAAGTGGTTAGCCGGATGTGAGTGCTGGAGGTGAGAAGTACAGTGTCTGCACGCTAAACGAAGGGTTTTCCATATTTACTCTTTAGTGTGATATCTAAACTGTCGTACCTGCGCAAGATAGTAATAGTGTGAATGATGAGTGTTTTTTTTGTCGTCCTGTCTCGGTATATATATATATATATATATATATATATATATATATATATATAAACACCTATGCAGGAGAGAGAAACATATGACGACGTTTCTGTCCGACTTGGGCCATTTACAAGTCACACTAACACACAAGATGATGGAGCCATTATGTATGGAAGAGGGAGACAGGGACGGGAAAGGGAGGAAGAAAGAAGGAAGTGGTGAGTTAGGGGTGAAGGTAATGCTGACAGTGGTAGTAGTAGTAGTAGAAGTAGGGGGAGTAGTGATAGACACAAATGGGAGTGAGGCGAGGCAATAGTAATAGAAATAGCAATAGTGGTTGTGGTAGTTGTAGTAGTATTAGTAAAAGTTAAGGTGGAATAAGTGTAACACTGCAGGAGAGTTAATGGTCCACAAAGGTGGGACCAAAAACGTAGATAATGGGGGGGGGGTGACTGTAGGCCAGGAGAAGAAGAGATCAGGTCAAGCCATGAGTGTTCTGAAGTTTTTGAACATCTGACAATGTAATGAGAAAGGAAGACATCTACCAAGCCACGACTAAGATTAATAGTAGGAAAGTTGTGTATAAGTGATGGTTCAACAAGATGGCGTCTGTGAAGGCTAGAAGGGTAGACAGTTCTAGCAGAGAGCTACTCATAAGGAGGATTGTGATGTCTAACATGACAGAAAAGAGCATTACTGGTGTCGGCACGTCTAACACACTCT